CATTTAGGAACAAAACTACAGACCTCTATATAGACAATATGGCTGTCAATATTTTGCAAATAATTGTGTACTTTAATCATTTGTTTCTCAAGAACAGTGTCAGAGCTGTAATTAGCTCTTAGGATGTGTAGATGGATTTCTGATGAAAAACAGTTTATCATAAAGTTCTAAGCATTCTGAGACACTGCCCTGCATGGAGGGCGATACAAAGTGCAAGTTATTGCTGTTGTAGTAGTGAGAAAAATGGACAGATCCAGGAGGACACAGTCCTGAGGACTCAGTAAGTAGATCTTGGTCACTCCATTTCAGCAGAACTCACAGGTTGCACATGTAGCTGGACACTTAAAGGATTTTTTTTTGAGATGTTACAGAAAACGTGTATTGACACGTTTTCTGTAACAAAGCCCAAACAAAAATACACACACTTGTGACAACTCTGAACTCATTAGGACAAATCACACCAAAGGCTATGTGAGCTTTCAATTCTGGAAGATCAGTTGCAGACCAAATACAATAAACTATTGATGCAGTTGTTTGATAAGCACATTGAACTAAATATCCTGCCTAGTGACCTGGAAACTGCAAAGTCTTTGATTCCATATACAGATCATCTTCATGAATTTTAAACAATTTGTTATGTTGAAACAAGAGCGTTGTATTGACCGTATGTCATACTTGTGACATATCCCCACACAGATCTTCACACTGGTGTTCAAATCCCTTCACTTTTGGTACCTCCCTATCTCTCCAACCTCCTCACTCCCCAACCTCCTCACTCCCTAATCCACCACCCGGCGCCTCCGCTTGTCTGGCACTGGCCTCCTGCTATTCCCTCACACCCTCCGCCCCACCATTGGAGGTCTTGCTTTCAGCCACTATGTCCCAAAACTCTTGAACACTCTCCCTCAATCCCTTCGCCTTGCCCCCTCTCTCCTGCCTGATAACCTTCCTCTTCGACCATGCTTACGGCAACCTCCAACCCCCTGGCTCGGAGTCAGGCTATGCCACTGTTAAGCGCGCTGAGACGCTACCCTGCGTGGAGGGTGCTATATAAATGCAAGTTGTTATATGTGATTGGAAAGCAGATCAGAGTTTTCTCCTTCCCCCAACTGTAAATTGGATTACTTAATCTTAAGATGTGGACAGCACAATACTGGTCAACACGTGGAGATGTACAATACTCTTCGAGAATGAGTGCATGGATACTGATTATTGCTGCCATCACGGCCAGGTTAATCTAGATGTTACATATCTTCCCCAACACCTACTAACCTAAAATGCAATGTCACAGTGAAGCTATATCTCAAAATAATTTTGTATAACTGAACTGAGAGATGGCCCAATGACATGGGAACACATTTTTTTAAAATGAGCATTGGAATAGAACTGATACAGCACGACTCCAAGTTTATTCCAATGTGTGGAATCTCTAACAAAAATATCCTCATCAACTTAATCTGCAATATTGTAATATTTGGGGGGTAAAACTTGAGCTCTGAATTAGTGCCTTGATGTTATCACAACTGATGCTTCAAAGCCACACTAAGAACTAGTTTATACATGACAAAAAGGTTCAACAATTTAGATTTCCCTTACTGTATCATTGAAATACAATACAAAATTACATTTCTATAGTGCTTTTCACATCGTTAGAACGTACCAAGGCGCTGGGCAGTCAGGGATTTGGACACGAGCTTTGGGCATGTCAAATACAACGATACCAAGAAAATTGCTTACGCTCAAGAGATACGAAAGTTACTGGACTTCAGTGTTGAAAGTACATTAGTAGAATAATTTCAATGAAGAATTCCAACTAAAATATTAGCAGATTATATTACTGCAAGGATTATATAATACTGCAATCAAATACAAGAATTATTATTATTGTGTTGAATCTTAAGGACCAAATATACTCCACATTGACATGAAAATGTTTCCCACATAATAGGTCAACCAGCAGTTAATTTGCAATTCACCCCCAATTCTGTTGTATTACAGAAGCGAGGCTCTCATACAATTTGGAAAGACCTCAAAATACTTCTGTCATTACCAAGTGTAATGCATGAATCTATTCAACCTCAATCTTTGTACGAATGCAACACTGAAAATAATGGAAAATTGGCTGAAACCAACACACCTTTAAAATTCCTCCAAGGCTGGATCCAATACATTAAAATATGGGATTTCAAAATAGCCTTTTAGCCCTTTTACAGGGGAAGTAAGTCTTAGTTGCTTACACTTATTTTAATGTTTTCCATTGCAATGCAAACTTTGAGAATTGTGGGAAAACTGCACCCATTTCTTAGAATTCATACACAGTGAATATCCCATGAAACTGAGTCATATACTGTAAATCTTATGGACCTCTATTGGAGTCCCCATAAATCAAGCATTATGGATTTTGGTGCATCTCTTACTAAGGCCACATGACACATGTGAAAAAAACTCAACATTTCAGGCCAACACACAACTTTCCATTTACTCCATTCAGCTACAAGGCATTTGCACATTTTTAAAACGCTGCAATCCATCATATACCAAAAGGTTGATAATCCATAAGTAAACAAAAATCACACTTTGTCCAAGTTTATAACATCTGCAAATCAACGCTAATCTTGATTTCAGAAAAGGCAAACATTTCCACACATTAAATTCAACAGGTTCAAAGAATTTAATTTCCTCCATTGTTACTTACTTGTTGGCAATACAACTGAATAGAAGACCAAATAAAAATCAACACAATTCGAGTTAAAAATGGTATAAAACAAAAAAGGATCTCTGAAAAAGAAACCTTAAATAATTCCACAGATCACCATTACATCTGTGGAAGCAAAGATATTTTCAGGTTTATCCAGATTAGCAACACAACCCCTGGATATCTTAGGTGTTCAGGCTGTCCACACTATGGGTTCTTAACCTTGCTAAGACTAAAATGATGTTCAAAAATAATGCATCTTCAATAATTCCTCATCTAAAAACAACACTCAGCATCTCCCAAGAATCTGTTCCAGAACAAGATCTGAACACCCCATTATTGCATTGTTATCTCGTTCCTCAACCCGGTCATTAAAGAACCGCCCATTTAAAATTCAGATGCCCTGGCAATTGGATTTCTGAATCTCAATACGCAAATCTAAAGCATCCAAATGATCTGACCACACTATCACTGTTTCTACACATTGGACCGCCCAGATAAACCAACAAGGGCCAATGCATTGTTCATCTCGGTTGACTGATGATCCAAACCGATTACTCATCAATCCAGTCATTGCTTCACTTCTTACAGCCACTGTCACAGGTGAATCACAACTCTGCTGCTAACATGCAAATCGCAAACCTATCCATCTTATAGTCCCGCGGGTTCGTTCCCGAATCGTGTTGGTTGAAAGGTAAATCCACGAACTCTTCTGAGCGCACATTTCCAAACGACCCTTGGTCATTTGGAGAACATTTCGCCTCTGAACGAACAGCCCGTCTCCATTAGCCACTGCTATCCAGGAACCAGGAATGAAACACGCCCCGATTTCAGTTTCCACCCACCGAAAACATTTCAACGCCAAACATCCACCCGATTCTTCTCGTGGAGATGGACCTGAATTACAAAGCTCCCATTCCCTCCCACGCAGGAATCGTCTCCAATTCTCCCATCAAGTCAATTCATATTTGGGTTAGCTATTCGGCCTATTTTATTTTTTTTCCCTTTCCTGTCCCCTCCAAAAGCCAATTTCCAATTCAAGGGCTGCCCTTGAAGCAACCAGGAAGCTCAAGATGGGGCACGTGGTTTTCCTCTCGCTCTACGTCCTCTTCTCGAGGTGCTCAAGACATCCTCGGGGTTGACAGGATGGTTACACCAATATTCTTCGAGTGGCTTTGGTTTTGCGCATATTACACACTTATATAAAGAAAATGCCGAAATGCTGCGATAAAAGTTGAAAGAAAAGGCACTCCGTCGATGTCTCTGGTAATGGATTGGAAAACCTTGACTATTCGAGATCCTAACCTAAAATACCAACGCCGTTACCAAAGAAAGTTGCATACCATGACTACATTGAAACATCTCTTAAATTGACCTCCTTCCCAAACTAACAACCCCCCAAAAAACATGTTTCAAACAATTTAGCTCTCGCATGTGCTGTACAAACTACAAGCTGCCCGTTGCAATCTTGCCGAAGTCAAGAAGCCATAAAATAGAGATCATCATCCATGAACGACACCGATGCATTGCAAATAAAGATATTAAACTATTTTATGAAGAGAGAAGCTGCTTTACAATCCAATAACTCAACATTGAGTGTGTGTGTGTGAGAGGATGGTGGTGGGGAGGGGGGGGGGGTCTGTTAAGACCCGCATGAAATAAATAAAAAAAATGTTGCTGAATAAAAATAGCCTCGTCGCCGTAAGCTTTCCCCCCCCCCCCAATAAAAATAAGTAAAAGGTGAACCCCAGGGTTTGGGTTGGTAATCTTCATTAGTGCATTGCGACATAGCTGAGGAGGGCACTAGTTCTCAATGCACACCACCAGCACTAAATAGTTAGAGCGTCTCCACACACTAACCTCCTTCCCACACACACACACACACACACACTTGGCCCCTAAGCCACACACTCAACTCCACACACATGGATGGATGGACAGCGGACGGGGGGGAGGGAGGGAGGGAGGAGGCCATTCGCAACATTTCATCAGACTTAAAAGTCAAGACTCCTTTAAGATTATTTCTCCACTCTTCCAACCAAGGTCCTTCTCCCTCTCTCCACCAAACCCAAGCCCAAACCAGTCCACTTCTACCCAAACTGACCGAGATCGCCATACGGCTTTAAAAACGTTGGTGGAGGGAGAGGAAAGGGGGGGGGGGGGGGGTGGGGGGGGGGGAGTGAAAGAGAGGAGAGAGCTGTTTTTTTTAAAAAAAAGAAGGTAAAAAATGTTTTGATATTTTTTTCCTTTTTTTTTAAAAAAAACAGACTTTTAATTTGAAATGTTGGGGTGGGTTTTTTTTTACCTCGTACAGCTCTTCCGAAGCCATGACGCCGGGGCCGCCGTGCGGTGCGCGATCAGGTGATAACGAGTCACTTTTCAGCCCCTCTCTCTCTCTCTCTCTCTCTTGCGCTCCGCTCCGGCCTCTTGTTAGACTCCGGGAGGAGGGAGTGAAGAGGGCCAGTGCGCAGCCCGTACTGCGCAGCGGGACGGCTCACGCCGCTCCATGAGGCACAAGCGGAAGTTGTACTTTTCCTCCTGTCTCTATCTCCCCTCTCGCTCTCTCTCTCGCTCTCTCTCTTTTTTAAAAAAAAAACGACCCGGTCGGTTCTCGTGAGCTCGCCTCTCGCTCGCTGTTCGAATGAAACGGTAAACGCGCGAGCCCGGCCAGGGGCGCTCAGGCGCGTGCGTGAGAGCGTGACAGCTGAGAGGCAACACACACCTCCCCTCTCACGCCGCTCAACCTAACCTGACAATTCCGAGGCAAAGTAGGGGGGGGGGGGCGGGACGCATTCTGACGTTGCGGCGGTGATTGACAGGAGGACGCCGTCGGTTCCTTCAAAAGAGGTAGGGTGTGCGCGAGGGTAGAATTACGTCATGTGCAGGGCTGGGGTGAGTGATAGGCGGGGGGGGGGGGGAGAGGCGGATCTTTGGTTGCGATCAAGTTAGTGTGACGGTGGCGGCAGAGGAATGATCTGAGAGCGCAGGCCAGAGAGACAGCGAGAGAGAGAGAGAGAGGGTGAGTGGGTGAGTGAGTGGCTGCTGTTTGATGGCTTCTCTATTCAAGTTGGGACGATCGAGAACTATCAGGTGAGGTTGTCGTCCTTTTTCTTCCGCGCTACCCCACGGCACCTCTCTCTCTCTCTCTCTCTCTCTTCTCTCTCTCTCGTCTCTCTCTCAAAAGAAATTGAAGCGATTCCCAAAAAGCGGATACACAAAGCCACATATTTTTTTTCAAAAAAAAAGAAGTGCTCACCGGCTGAACCTGCGCCCGGACTTGACAGTTGCGGCGGGCGGGCGGGCGGGAGTGGCGAGCTGGAGCGAGGTGGGGGGTGGTGGGGTGGGGGGGGGACACACGGGTTAAAGCCCGGGGGGGGGGGTTCGGGGAAGGCTTTCCAGAAGTGGGGCTGCGAGAAGTTGGGGTTTCACCTTGAACTTGGGATTCGAGCCACGCGCGGCGGCGGTTATTTGAGGAGGAGGGGGTCATTGAACGAGAAGTTTTCAACAGGTAACGGTCGCTGTTCAAAGTGTCACGCCGGACAAACCCGGGCAGTGTGTGTGTGTGTGTGGGGGGGGGGGGGGCAATGCCGGCCATTGCCCGGGCTGGAGAGAGCGACTTTCCTATCCGTCACTCGGTGCCTCCTGGTCGCGGAAGGCGAATGCGAAAGCTTTGGGAAACAGTCAGCCCGACTTTGGGGTTTCCATCTCTTGAGAAAGTTATAATCATTAATCATCAATAATAATCCTTTTGCATTTGATAAAGAGTGCCCACTCTCTGTGTGTGGAGTCCTGTAGCTCAGTGGTCAGAGCACTCGCTTTGACAAGCGAGAGACCCGAGTTCAGTTCCGGGCAGGTCAGGGCGACACCTCGGGCAAGTTTCCTTACTCCACACACAGCCCTAATAGTAATCCCTCCAAAACCCCAAACCAAACAATGAATCGGTCATTTTCAATCCACGACTGTTTGTGGGGACATTGCTGTGCGCGATTGGCTGCCGCGTTCGCCCACAAATGTACAGTCAATTCACTTTACAGTGTGTTCTGTGAAGCGCTTTGGGACGTCCTCCCGACGGGAAAAGCGCTATATCAAATGCGAGGATTATTATTATTATATATCGTGCCCTCCCACTGTGAACCTTTGAACCTGTCTCCCCCTCCTCTCATCAACACCATAAACCCACATGAAACCGACCACCTGCTCCCTGGACCCCATCCCTACCCAACTCCACCTCCTACTACTCCTCCTACCCCCTACTCACAGACATCATAAACCTCTCCATGTCCACTGGCACCGATACCACCCCTCTAAAAACGTCCGTCATCACTCATATTAAAAAATGCCCCTCCCTGGACCAGTCCATGCTCTCAAACTATCGCCCCATCTCCAACCTTCCTTTCTTTTCCAAGGTCCTGGAACGAGTCGTTGCTTCCCCAACTTCACTCCTTCCTCTCCCACCGCTCCCTTCACGAACACCTCCAGTCGGGTTTCCATGTCGCCAGGAGCACAGAAACATCTTTGGTCAAAGTGACAAATGACATTTTGACCATCTGCGGCCAGGGCTTCCTTTGCCCCCTCATCCTCCTTGACCGCTCTGCTGCCTTCGATACCGTTGACCACTCTATCCTCCTTCACCCCTTCTCCTCTCACCTCAACCTTCGTGCTTCTGTCCTTGAATGGTTCAGATTCTACCTCTCACACCGTCTCCACTTCATCTCCACAAACGGCTTCTCCTCTAAACCCCCACAACGTCTTGTGCGGAGTTCCTCAGGGCTCTGTCCTTAGTCCCCTCCTTTTCAAAATCTATATACTCCCTCTTGGTGACATCATCCACAGACAATTTCCACATATATGCGGATGACACCCAACTCTTCCTCTCTGCCTCCACTCTCAACTCCAGGACCACCTCTGTCCTGGCAGAATTTCTGTCAGATATCAAGTCCTGGATGAGAGCTAACTTTCTGCAGTTGAAAACTACTGTCCCATCTCTAACCTCCCATTCCTCTCCAAGGTCCTGGAATGAGTCGTCGCGTCCCAGCTCCGTTCCTTTCTCTCCCGCCATTCCCTCTTTGAACCTCTCCAATCCAGCTTCACGGAAACAGCTCTGGTCAAAGTCACTAATGACATTCTGAACATCTGTGATCACGGCTCCCTCTGCCTCCTTGACCTCTCTGCCGCCTTCAACACTGTCGACCACTCCATCCTCATACACCGCTTCTCCTTCTTACTTAATCTTCGCGGACCTGCCCTTGCCTGGTTCGATTCCTATCTCTCTCACCATCTCCACTTTGTTGCCTCTAACGGTTTCTCCTCCAGCCCCCGCGCTGTCACGTCTGGCGTCCCCCAGGGCTCTGTCCTTGGCCCTCTCTTCTTTAATATCTATATGCTCCCCCTTGGTGACAGCATCCACAGACATGGGGTCAACTTCCATATGTATGCGGATGACACCCAACTCTATCTTTCTGCCTCCACCCTCAACTCCAGGACCACTGCTATCCTGGTTCCACACTTCAACTCACCAAGCCAGTCAGGAACCTAGGTGTCTTGGTCAACCCTCAACTGTCTTTTCTTCCCCACTTCCAAACCATGATCCACTCTGCCTTCCCTCACCTCCGTAACATCGCCTGACTCCACCACTATCTCACCCCTCAGGCCGCTGAAACTTCCACATATATGCGGGTGACATGCAACTGTACCTCTCTGCCTCCACCCTCGATTCCAGGACCAATGCTGTGCTGACAGAATGTCTGTCAGACATCAAGTCCTGGATGAGAGCTAACTTTCTTCAGTTGAATGTCAACAAGACAGAGGCTCTCCTGAATTGGCTCCCGTCAGCGTATTCACCTCAGGCGCTGAGAGCATCACCATCCATGGTTGCACACTCCACCTTACTAAGCCAATCTGGAACCTTGGGGTCTTGTTTGACCCTCAACTATCCTTTGTACCCCACATCTGTGCCATGACCTGCTTTACCTTTCCCCACCTCCACAACATCGCCCGGCTCTGCTGTCTCACACCACAGGCTGCTGAAACTCTCAAACATGCCTTCATCACCTCCAGCTTGACTATGCAAAGGCCCTGCTTGTTGGCCTTCCCAACTCCAAGCTGCAGATAATCCAGAACTCTGCAGCCCGTGTCCTCTCCCACACCAAACTCCGTGACCCCATCTCCCCCATTCTCGCCCAACTCCATTGGCTCCCTATCCTTCAGAGGATCCAGTTTAAGATCATGGTGCTCACCTACAAAGCCCCAAATGGTCTCTGTGACCTCCTAACCTCCTACCAACCCGCCCGCTCCCTCCGCTCAGCCAGCTCTGGCCTGCTTTACGTCCCCTGGCTCACCCGCTCTACCATTGGCGGCCAGGCCTTCTGCCACTTGGCCCCCTCCCTCTGGAACTCCATACTGCAGTCCCTCCACCTCACCCCTCCCTTGTCTCCTTCAAGACCCGTCCCAAGACCCTCCTCTTTGACCATGCCTTTGGTCATCCTCCTAGACCCCGCCCTCCACCCTCCCTGATCCTGACCCTCCAGCTCGGGTCTGAAACACTGATTGTTGAGCGCCTTGCGACATCCTCCCAATGTGAAAGGTGCTATACAAATGGAATTTTCTTGTTGTTATCACGTCGTTGAGACGTCTCAAAGCTGTATGCAATTGGCTGCCCCATTTCGCCTACAAAATACACAGTGAATCCACTTTACAGTGTATTCTGTGAAGCGATTTGAAATATCTCAATGATGTGATAATATGCTATATCAAATGCAAGGATGATGAAAATGCTTCCCAGGATATACTGTAAAGTGGGATTGACTGTGTATTTTGTGGGCGAAACACGGCAGCCAGTTGTGCACAGCGATGTCCTACAAACAGCCGTGAGGTGAATGACCAATTTTATCTGGGGGATTGTTATCCAGGACACTGGGAGAAAGTCTCTTCTCTTTTCGAATAGTGCCATGGGACCTTTAACGTCCACCTGAACAGAAACGTTTATTTGGTTGGTCGACCAAAAATGTTGGCTACTACTGTCCTAATCGCTATACTTGTATCCCTGGTTACAGATTCCCCAGCCGGTGACTGTGGGACATTGCTGTGTAAACATTCACTGCCCCGTTCATCCACAAAACCGACAGTCCCACCGATTTACAGTATATCCTGTGAAGCTCTTTGAGATGTCTTCCTGAAATGAAAGGTGATATACCAAATGTAAGAATTAATTAATAATAAAAGCCCATTTATGCTAACCTTATCAAACCCTGTTATAATTTTGAACACCTTTATTAGGTCCCCTCTTAAATGTCTCTTCAATCGCAAAAAAGGTTCCCTCACCTATACAGTTTATCCTGATAGTAGTAATCCGCCAGCCCTGGTATCATCTTACAAAACCTGTGATATAGTCTTTTTATTGCTCCTATATCTTTCTTGTATGATGACCAGAATTGGACACCGTATTGTTGGTCTAACCAAGGTTATACAAATGTAAACTACAGATAAAACTGTTCAAGAAACAAACTCCATACAATAATCTGGAACAGTCTGGATAGCTTGGATCGCACACCAACAAAACCTTACTCAAAGGAGATTCAGCATTGCGTTAATAGTGTTTCAGCGGCTTTTGGCCAGCTTGTGTCTTCAATGAAAAAGGACTGGATGTATCTACAAAGATCATGGTTCACAAGTCTGTAACTCTGCTCTACAACTTTGAATATTGGGTTACTTACAGAAGGCATCTTGAGTCTTTTGAGCATTTCCACCAACGTTCCTTATGCAAAATCCTTCAAGTTCCCTGGAATGATTGTAAAATCAATGCTTTTGTTCTCTCAAAATCCAGCTGTACCAGTATTAAAGCTATGATTATTAAAGCCCAACTTCGCTGGACTGGTCAGGTTTGCCAAATGGATGATACCAGACTTCCAAAACAACTACCGTATTCTGAACTGAGCTCCGGCTAAAGAAGTGTTGGTGGCCAGAAAAAGATACTGTATAAATATTATTTGAAATCCAACCTGAAGAAATGCGGTATTGACACAAATACACGAGAAGAAACCTCGAAAGACCGCAAACTGTGGAGATCCATGTGTAGGCAGGGAGTTAACAAG